GGATCCACAGTAGAGATAATCGTAATTAGAAATTATTATCCTTTATGCTATCAAATATCAATGCCTCAAAGAAAAGCTTAGACAAATAAGTTTATTCGGTTCTTTTTAATGTTCAATTTTTGATTGAATCATCACTGGTCAATTTATTTTTAATAACTCTCATTAAAATCCATATTAGAAAATCCGCAGTTTGAAGAATTTTAGAAGGGCTTATTAAAGCAAGGTAAAATCCATCTTATGCTACATTTTCGTAGGTATAAAATGGAACGAAAGATGTTTTTTTTGCACATCATATGTCAGCAACTTTTTAAGTAGCTCTACTGGGATCTTTTAGCTAAAAAAGAAAAAAAACAAAAAACACTTTCAGCAGTTTTAATTAACTGAATATCTTCATAAATAGCAGATTTTAATGCTTATCTTCATTTTCCTAGGCACTGACCTAGTAAACCGATAATACATTGTAATTGAACTTACGAACAAATCGAAAAACAAATTTTTTTTCACTAGAGCCTATTACAAATAAATAAGAGTACTTACGATCTCTTAATCAAGTTTCTAGCAAATAAACATCATACGGTATATCTTAATCATAATTTTATTGAACATTTGGTTAAAAAGCATAATTTATTTATTCGATTATTGTCATTATGTTTCGACAATGTTTTTAATGAAAATTTTTAATTAATAATTATCCAATTTGTATTTGAACATGAAAAAAGAATTCCTTGAGTTACATACTCATGAATATTGTCGAAAGTTTAAATTATTCGATAAAAATAGATGATCTCTTTTAGTATGATCTATGATTTGATTCAAAACTAATTAAGTACATTGATGCGAAATGATCATATTCTTTATCTATTCATTTTCTTTTGAATTGGTTGAAGAAGACAAAAATCTAGAAGAAAAACTGTAAGACAAGGGTGAATTACTTCGATGCATATGACTATACTGAGAAGTTAAAAAATCAAGAGAAAACAGTAATAACTTTTTCTTAGTCTTCTATTCTACTTTTTTCATTCGACTAAAATAAGAAAAAGCACTAGAGTCAAAAACATGTAAAAACTCGTTCCATTGAATTAACGTTCCTTAGAGACATACATTGAATTTCGTTTTATGAATAGCATTTCAATTTTTTTATTTAATCTCCTGTATGTGTTCAAGTGGACGTTTCATATGATTCTCCTTCCAGCTAATGAAGGATCATTTTTTAGCATAAAAATCATTTTTTGAAGAAAAAAGTGCAAATTCAAAAGTTTAAAAAGCCGATTACATCTTCAAATTTCTTGATGACGATTATCTTTGATCAACCTTCATAAATTACATCAATATATACGGACACGTGCCGGCAGACATTCAGATAAACACATTTTATTTCGAATGATCATCTCTTCAATCAAGGAGATTAATGTACGATGCTTGTGAATCACAGAAGTACAAATTTTTTCATCAGAACAATTGATTATCCTGTGATTAGCAAACCTTCAAACAAAAAGAATTGAAGTAAAAAATGAAACTCGTTCTAAAAAGACATGATTGTCAACCTTTTTCATTACAGATAAGCTTGTGAGAAAAAAATGACTCATGGTTGTTTTCGTAGGTTTGTTGTTTATTTGAACGAGAAAATGCATCAGATATTTTGATTTCTGTATAAATTGAGAGAACAAAATAAATAATACAGTTAATATTACCAAAATCAATCATAAGCGTTTTATTTACTTTGCCTTATTTACTTTTTCAACAGCTAAAGCAAATATACCATCTCTAATAACGAAATTGGTGAATGAGAAAAATAAATAAGGCAATACTTCTTGCCAATGATTCATTCGAAATATGGTCACACTTCACTTACGCAGCGCGACGAGGATAGAAAAAAATGTATATAAGCAGCTTTAGATTGCTTTTTCATTTTACCTTTACACATAAAGAAATATCATTTTCATTAACGTCTCCTTCTTGTGAAGTTTCACAAGTAAACGCATTATCAGTGAGCTTGTGTCTGTTTGTTAACGGGTCCATCATGGCGAAGGAGAAGTTTGAGAAAAGCATCGCGGCTATTAGCTATGTAAACTCCGAAACAACGATTACCGGCCATTTCAAGGGAAAAGAAGTAGCTGCTTTGATACCACGCCACCGTCGGAATGAAGTTGGAGGGGTTTCTGACTCTAGTTTTACCACTAGTAAGAATATGAGTATTTTACAGTAAAATGTATGCTTCACTAGCTATCATAAAAACTGTTTTTGTTGTGTACTCAAAAAGTGAGTACACTCTAGAATCGGTCAGTGTGTCCGTCCGGCCGGCCGGCCGTTAATACGATAACTTTTGAAAGGAGAGTCCGATCGCGATGAAATGTTCTACACAGTTTAGTCTTTACAATATCTCGGTCGAATTCGAAGATGAGAATGATTGGCCGAGCCATTGCTGAGTTATTGCAAAAATAGTCATTTTTCGCTATGAGAAGATAGACCCTTCTCTGTTTTCATAAAAAACTTTTCCTATCATAGTCAAATAAAACCCCAACTATTATATACCATTCGATAGAAAATTTCACGAGCTACAAAATGGTATATAAAACATAAAGAAACAAGAAAGCTAACTCGCCTATTGCAAAGATAATTAATCAGAATTCGGTTCTGTTTTTGTCCACGCTCTATATGATCCACAATTAGAGCTCTATCTTCTCATCACAGAGATGATAGTTCGAGGTTTTCTAGAATGGAGAACTCGAATCTATGTTCCATTCGCCTCGAAATCCCATTGGTTGAGCAGTGACCAATAGAAATCAAGTTATAGGAAAAACGAGTTTCTTAGGGTAAATCAAGGTGAAGAGTTCAAGTCTGAGCTGTATTTGCCTCCAGATCGTATTGGCTGAGCAATAGCCAATAGAAATTAAGTGTTTACAGAAAGGGTTTGCCAGGACAATTTTGATGTCCACACATTCTAGGGTGACTCATCTGTCTCATTCACTTTTTGAAGTACACATAACTCTCGGATTTAAATCCGAGGTTTCCACATTTATTTAGTATTGTCTTTGGGTGTACTTCTTCTTGCCGCTGCTATTCTCATACTCTCCATTCGGTATACCATTGGCCGTTATCGGAAGTACACAGTTATCAATCGAGAGCAACTCGAACATAAATCACTGGACGTGTAAAGAACATATTAACATCGAACTAATGTCACATCAAAATACAAATCACAATGCCTTATAGGAGATGTTGGCAAATTCTTCTTCAATATTCACCGCTTTTTTTAGCTAGATTCCTATGTAACCTGCTTATATGGTAACATTTTTTCATTCTATTTATTAATAAACAATTCAACAGTTACAATTAATAAAGAATTTCTACATCGATTCCTTTGCTATTTTCTGATATTCAAGTTGCTTCGTACATGTAATAATGCTAAAAAATGTTAGTCATATATATTGAAAGAGTTCTTGATTGATTAAGAAAAATTTTTAAACATAAACTTGCATAGATTATTTGGTGACTGCATACCACTAATTTCATTATATTTCTAACCATAAGTATAAATAGAACAGCAGTATTTTTATCACAGTCATATAATATAAACTGTAAATACAGAACACACAAACACTCCATTCTATTTCATCACTGTATTAAAGTCTACCTTTCAATTTCTAGAACAAAATCATATTTTGATAAAATAACTAAAAAATGATAGTTTTCGTTCTATACTTTAAATAAATAAAGCATATATAACTTCTCTATGCTAAGAATGAAAATACCCAATAGAATTTTAATATAATGTCGAGAGAGATGATTATTATCTATGAGATTTTCGGATTCGTTGACATTTTATATTTCTATCCGTAATGCATGATAAGCGTCATATAGTAAATACATTATCAACAAGCTATTCCATCTATTCCTTCGTCTCTTATTCTAATAATCTCAATACGGTTCTCAGTTCTCTATAAATATGTCATATAATAATACTAAAATAATTTCCAATTTTCATCAACGGTAATTACAAAATAGACATCGTTTTCTCTTAATGGATGCATCGAAAGTATAACTATTTACAGTAATATATGAAGTAAAAATGGTGTATTCAACATTATACAGAGATATTAGGATTTTGAATAAGTTTTCATTGATAATATAGCAAGTATTTATTTCTGAAGTGTTTTAGTTCAAGATAAATCCATTCATTCACATCAACAATAAGCAATAACATTTAATTATGAATTAATATGAGTGATAAATTTCTCAAGTTTCAGTTTTTGTTAATTAAATTTTATAGGTTAGAACTTCACTTTTTATCAATCATTAGTTATACATAAATATATATTCATTATTATATTGTTATTCTAAAATTAAGATTTGTAAAAGAAATACGAATAAGTAAATTTGATGAGTAAATCAATTAAAGGAAGAAGAAGAAAAAAAACTCAAAAGATGTGTAAAAATAAAACATAAAAAACCGACAAATGCATTGATGATGAGATAGAGGTGCTATAAAAAAAAAATCATTGAAGCGTTTGTTTTTGCTTTTATAACGTCTAAGAAAAAAAAACGGTAAGGACAATTTCTAGAACATGAGAACGTAAAATATAACAGAACTAATTATATTTTAAATGAAAAAATTTAGCAATTCATAATCAATATAAAAATAGAACAAATAATAGAGATCTTAACGTCAAATTTCATCTTAGAGATTAGGAAAGACATTAAGAATATAAAGAAAAATTTCAGTCTAATGTTTCTTCTTACAAAACTGTCTTAAGTTTCATAATATAATATCCTAGTCCTTTTCCATTTATATCTATATTGCTTTCAATCTGTGAGAAACGAATAAAATTTCTTGTCGTATACTTCAACTCTTGTAGTGGTTTCGACGATCTCTAGTTTTTAAAATAAATATCGTATTGTAATTATCAATAGAACAAAGTAAATGATTCCTTATTTAGAATCGATGTTAGAAAATGATATTTAATCATAAATGAAACAGAAAAAAAAGAATTTAAATAACAATGACTAATAAAAATATTGAAATTATAAATGAAATCATTAATCAAACAACACTCTACATACATTTATTAATCATCATTAGCGGAGCATTTGGTAGTGTTTGCAATGTTATTACATTTATATCAAGACAGTTACGTTTTAATTCATGTGCATTTTATTTTTTATGTTCAACAATATTTGACCTTCTTTATCTAGTATTTGGTGGAATAACACGTCTTATGTTTGATCATTTTTTAATATGTCACTTAATAGATCGGTTATACTTTGTCAATGTCGTGCTTATCTAATTGTTGTTTTACCATCATTGTCTACTATGTTCATAATGCTCGCATCGGTAGATCGATGTTTATCAACATCTACTTGAAGAAAATGGTGCAATGTAAGCCGAATAAATACGGCTTGGTGTGTGACAATAGTCACTTTAGTGTTTTCAGTCTTTGCTACTTCTCATATACTTTTTTTGTTTGAATTACGCGCAAAAGATACCAATAGCAATACATATATATGTGGACCTCATGATAATATATACAAAAGATTTGTTACAATTTGTTTTTTTTATTAGTCCATCCATAACTTATACTTAGGGATATCCAAAAGTAGTGGCAATGACATTTTATTACCATATTTTAGGGTT